TCTATTACCTTGACAAATCCACTCTTCCCCACCAACACATTTCCACTCTTAAAATCTCGATGAACGTATCCTTGCGCGTGCAGATCTCGCAGCGCCAAGACCAGTTGCACCGCGAAAAACTTGGCTACGTGTTCCGGGAACCTCCCGGTGTCTCTGTACTTCCAAATACACTCGTACAGCGCTCGTCCTTCGATGTATTCCTGCAAAATCGACACTTCGGCCGTCGTTTCAAAAACCTGAAAGCCTCGACACAGGAACGGGCTCTTGATTTTGAGCAGAATCGACTTTTCCGCATCCAGACGCAATTTCTGCTGTTCTGTGACGATTTTTGCTCTTGGAATTCTTTTTATGGCTGCACCAAACAAACAAAACGATTATGGTGATGATGCGTCACGCGATATGCCATTCGAATTGTAGCAATTGCAGCACTGTACCAAAGAGCTGGGTCGAATTGCTACGTCGAACGAGAAATACACTGGACATTCAAGTGGCAGTCAATCTAGATCGTACTCTGAAAACACTTAGTTGTAGCCATAATGCAATTGAGTACGATGGCGAATGTGTACAGTGCTTACCTGGCGTAGCCGCCACGGCCAAGGAATTGGAGCTGTTCGAAGTCGTCCATGCTGGAAGATCGCAAAATAATTAGCTCGATCCGAAAATAAGAACTATTTTCGTTTCGCAGAGAATTTAACCCAGAAGAGCAATAATTGCTCCAAAAATAAATTTATCGTTTCTATTTTTATTTTTATTTGTTAAAAGCGAAAAGCTGCAGAAAATGCCTTTATTTATTTTTTATTTAATCGATGCGAGGACGCATGCGCAAGGAGATTGCAATGCTGGAGAGCGACCCACCATTCGGTACCTATCCTGAGTCTCACCACCATATTCTACACTTTATCTTGCGTCTTTAAAGTAGTATTCATCTCCATTCGTTCCAAATTGCGCATTGAAGGTGAGCGCGTGGCCAAAAGACGACCAGATCGACCACCTGGAAGCAGGCCTCGGACAATACAATACGAAATTGTACTGCAAGACATCGAGTCCCATAATAATAACGAGAATATGATGAAGTACAATAATAATAATGGGGCCAATATAAGTATATTGTGGCCTCTAACTACCAAGTCTTTCTACTCATTGGCGACGTGCGAAGTCGCGTTCCACATGTCGCGGTTCACGCGAAGAAATGCTAACATCTCAAAGTTTGCAGAAAGCATGCATGACCGCTGAGGCGTCAGAATGAGCTTGCACTGCGAAAACAGTCTTTCAACTGTGTTCGAGGTGGGCGGCACCACCTTTGCCAGCTCATGAAAGCTCACACCCGCAGCACCAGCCGCTCGCATCTGCTTCCCCCCTCGTAGAGTTGCGCTGGCGTAATCGCTCGTCGAGCGCTCCTTCCTCTTACCAGTTGCAGCATCTGGCTTCCACCACCAATCGTTGGACTGCGCGCGCCTTAGACGCAGTGAGCTTCGCATTGTTGCAAATCTTGACCAAAGCTGCCTCAAAGGCCGGCGCATGGACGATCTTCGCCGCCGGACGCAGATGGCTCGCCATAACTGGGTAGTCGTCAACAACCTGGTCAAACAAAACACGCACGTCCGCCATGCTGGTGTCCTCGCGCTGGAGTGTCTTGCAGGCACTATCGAGTTTCTTGAGGTGCTCTAGCAGGCCGAGAAGCTTCTTGTGGGCCGAACCTTTTGGGATGAGCTCGTCAACAGCATCAACCTGCCGAATAGAATCTCGAAGTTTCTTATAGCGGTCCACCATTGCGAATGTCGAAGACCAACGGGTAACATTCCGTTTGACAGGTTTCAGGTCCGTGAATTTTAATAGTTCCGCAGCATTGCTCACGTGTCGTAGCTGCACCATCAGACTGTTAACTGCAGCGAGCTCCGGCTCATAAGCAGCTAAGTAGCGATTCACCGCAAGGTTGTACCGGTGACTTGCACAGCCAACCAGTGGCAACTCCAACAACGTAGCGATCCGCTGATTGGTCGCGCAATTGTCGGCTACCAGAAAAGCCACCATAGAGATGTCCTTGTTATACAGCGCCAGCACGCGCTCGAACATCTCGATGTGCACTTCAGCATCTTGGCTGCCGTCCTCCAGCGGTGACAGCGACAGCAGTCGCTCACGGCGCTTGCCGTCTGCGTAGCAAACACCGTAGATACCGACGTAGTGCGTGGTACCGTGCGTCCATCCATCCCACATGACACCAAACAGCTTGCCCAACTCGCTTTCGATCAGCACACCAACGCTCTCGGAGCACTTCTTCATGTCTTCCTTCAACCTCTTGGACGAAACGGGCTTCCAGGACGACATGGACCTTGTGAGGTGATTGTCGACCTCGGAGACGGGCATGTGCCTCTCTACGACCCACTGAAGCCACTGATAGCGATGCTGAGTCGCCTCGGACACGAACCCAAAGTTGGACAGAGGGGCGTCCGTAGCCGCAGATGCGCTGTAGGTCTCGTTGAAGTCGGGGTGCGTCAGGTTGAGGTGGGACATCAGGTTCGAGTACCCGGTACCGGTTTGCTGCTTGCGGTAAGAACCGCAAAGCTGACAGCGGAAGTCGCCTTGGCCCTTGTCTTCGTAGAAGAATGCGCAGATATCACGGTTCGGAGCCATCGTGGTCAAATGAAAAGTGAGGGAGTGCTGTGAGGCTTCGGCTCGTGATCGTGTCTGTGCCTGCCAGCCAACCACTTGAACGATTGGCGCGAAGAGCTAGTTTCTGCGACCCACCATACAGCGTCTTCAAGCGCGTCCACGCGCCCCACGCTTCCTCGCAGTCATCAACCACGTGATGGTAGTCCACGTTCATGTGGAGCAACATCAGTCCGAACGCAATGTTGCTCGCCTTGACGTAGTCGTCCTTGGTCCGGATGTCCGTGAAGCTCGGCGTCGTTTCCCGGTCAGAA